AGGGGGCGCCCCCGCCGGGGCCGGGAGCCCGGAGCCGCCCGGGACGGTGGTCCGAAGAGGGCGCGCGTGGGCGGCCATGGCCGCCTCCCCTCCTCGCCTCGCCGCACGCCGGCCCCGTGTGGGTGTCGGTGTGCACGGCACCGGGCAGACGAGCTTGCGGCGTGGATATGTCGCCAGCGTTCAGTCACACAGGTACAGGCACGTGCGACACCGGCCGGCTTTGCGCGCGGAGCGAGGGGTGTGGGGCTCGGGCCAAGGAGGAGTTGCCCAAGCCACCCTGCTGCTTAGGTGGCAGAGCCGGGATTAGAACTCAGTTTCCTGCCTCCTGAGATCCTTAAAAGGAGTCTGCGGAAGCAGACCCCCAGTGACTTTTTGAAGCAAATCATCGGACGGCCAGTTGTGGTAAAATTAAATTCTGGAGTGGATTATCGAGGGGTCCTGGCTTGCTCGGACGGCTACATGAACTTAGCCCTGGAGCGGACGGAAGAGCAAGCCCGGACGCGTTGGCCCGCGGGAACGGCCTGGCGACCTAAGTACACAGGAGAGAAGGATGCGGAGGCACCACGGGAGCAATCGTTTTCCTAGGTGGATATATTTTTATGAAATCCTTTTCTACTTTTTGGTTCTTTCGTGATGTAATTTGTCCTGTTTCGTAATAGTTGTGAGCTGTTAACTGACATGTGAGTCAGGTAAACGTTTACAACTGTGGGTTCAATTGTAGAAAGTTCTTGGACATTTAAGTTTCAGCGTTTTCTTTCACCTCTATGTCAGTGTACAGAATGCCAAAAGAATTTAAAAATGACCAAAAAAAAGAAAGAAAAACGGGCCAGGGGGTGGCGTGGTGGTTATGGCAGTCCGAGGACGTACGTGGTGGATTGCTTTCTCTTCTCTCTCTGTCTCTCTCTGGCAAAACTCATGCGAAAAAAATAATAAATAAATAAATAAAATAGTTCGTTAGGAAAAAAAAGAAACAGCACACACACACACACACACACACAAAGAAAGAAAAGCAAAGAAGGTTAGGGTCAAAAGGAACGGTGAGGGCCAGCCAAGGCTGCTGCGTCCCACATGGCTGACGGCACCTGCGCTTGTGTGCCCTTGCCCTCGGAGAGAACGGAGACCGCCTTCCCCTGGGGGTGCTTTCTCACTCTCCCGCTCTCTGTCTCTCATGGGGAGAGAGGTTTCGCCACATAAAAAACAGCTGCCCTCATGGCTCAGTGTAATAGAAAGTAGGGTTTGGGGCCCAAAGTCGGGCCTGATTCTGCCCTGGATGTCCAGAGAAAGCCAGACGTGGTAAAATCAGAATACCAAGATCCCTCCCTCGGGCCAGCAGCCGCCCGCAGTCTGTCCCTGTCTCCGCCCTGTCTGGATAAGGGCACACCCTGCGTCCGCATGTTTTTCAAGCCTCCAGGACTAGGATTTTATTTATTTACATTTTTCTTTTCCAAAGAGTTGTGTTTGCTATAAGGTACCTCATCTAAAGCATTGTTTTATTTATTTATTTATTTTTATGTGACCAGAGAGGGACAGAGCAAGAGATAGTGAGAAAGCAAGCCACTAGGTCCAGGACTCGAATTGTGGCCAGTTACGTGGGAGTCCAGCACCCTTAACCACCACGCCACCTGATGGCCCTCCCAAAAAGCACTGTTAAATGCTGTGTTAAAGCTGATTTCAGATTCTTTTCACCATTTCATCCAACACAACTTCTGTTGTCCAAGTCCCCTAGAGTCCCCTTAGCTAACAAGGCCAACTCTGGCCTCCTTACCTTTCCCCTAGTGTCCTTGACTGTCCGCTGTCAGTCGGCTTCAGAGGCTTCCCTTGGAGCCAAGCTTGGGAGCTTGTGTCTGGAAGTTTTCTGGCCGTGAGTGCGTTGGCCTTTGTACACGTGGAGCCGGGAACACCCCCCTCTTCCTCTGGAGCCAGAAGAGCCCTATGCCGGCCAGACACAGCCCTCCTTCCAAGAGCCACTTTGTGTTGATGGTCCAGAGACTTCTGAGGCCTGGGCAGGGGGTGCCCCTTGAGGGAACAGCAGCCTTGGGTCTGCCCTTGGAGCATCAGGAGAGAATGGGTGACCTGGCCACCAGGCTAGCAGCTATGGTGTCCACAGGGCAGGTGCTCGTGCCTCTTTCCTCCGCTGCGGCCAAGTGGACGGGCCACAGTGTTTAAGAGCATCTGGCTGCGCTGTTTATGCCTCTGTCCTCGACTGCGAGCCGGAAGCCCACCCCCAGGCTTTCCCTTGCCTGTCTGGGCCTTAAGTTCTTTTTGGTTTTTATGTTTCAAGAGGGTGCATAGGCTTGCTGAAAGAGAGAGAACCCGCCTGGGGGCAGTCACACCACAGGCCCTAGTCCCTTCTCCATTCTCCCCTTGGGATTTTGGGGACACGCACACACGCCCAGTTGCGTCTCAGGCTGCCAGGTGTGGAACCATGGCCTGCTGTCAGCCACGTGGGGTCCAGCTGCCTTCACCACCACTGGCCGGCCCTGGGTCTTAAGGTTTTCTCACTCATTCGTCTTGGAACTCAGACTGTTTCCTACTCCCACAAGAACCTGGTGCTGGACGGAACCAGCAGTTAGCGTAATGGCTATGTCGCTGGACTCCCACGTAGTTGACCGCGGTTCGTGTCCCGGACCCGGTGGCTTAAAACTCACGCCGGGCGCGTGTGCGTGTGTGCCCAAGATCCTGAGAGGAGAATGGAGGAGAAGGGATTGCGGCGTGGCCATCCCCCCTGGGGGGTGATTTCTCACTTTCTGTCTCTGATGTCTCTGTCTGTCTCTAATGTCTCTGGCTGGCTGGCGAGCACATGTGTCCTGTAGCGAAAATCTCTCCAAAAGAAAAAGGAGCCTGGTGCTGGAGAAAAGGGACCAGGAGTAATTTCAAACGTGGACAAAGGACGCGGCGAGACAGACGCACGGAGTGGGCCGCAGCGAGGAGCTGCCAGGTGGTCAGACCGGGGAGACCTCGCCCACAGCCCTGGGTGTCCGTGACACGGGCGAAGGTAGAGGTGCTCACCCCTGTCCAGAGCAGAGCGACATCTGGCTCTAACTCTGGGAGGCCTCTGGCTCTCACGAGAGCCTGGCAGTGCAGCCAGCAGGGCGTCCGGAGGGGCAGGGACGTCCTGGAGACGAGAGCTGCCCAACCTTTCGTGGCTGTCGCCTCCTGCTGGAAGGTGAAGAGGGACAGCAAGACGGTGGTGGCTTTGGTGTCTGGGCTGCCGTGAGGAAGCACCACAGATGCGCTTTACACAGAAGTGGGTTCTCGGCCCTGCGACCAGGAGCCTGAATCACAGTGTCGCAAAGCCAGCTGCCGCCGCCTCACCTCCTCCAGTTCCTGCGGTGCCCGCGTGGCTCTGACCCCTCCATCCCACATGACCTGCTTCTCTCTCCCCCTCTTTGGTTTAGTGCCCTTTGGTGCACTCGCTGTGGGACACGGGTGTGCTGTGAGCCTCCTCCTCCTTGCATCCTAACAGGATGTTGGGATGTTTCTTCCCCCGCCAGGGCCAGAACTCGAACTGCAGCCGGCCATTGGGCTCCAGCTGCCAGGGTACTGCACTGAGCCACCGTGCTGTGGAGCAGACCCGTCTCTTACTAGGACACCGAGTGTACTGGGCCAGGGCCAGCCCGCTCCAGCCTGCCCTCGTCCTAATGCATGTCTTGGTGGCATCCACAAAGACCGTGTTTCCAAATAAGGGTGCACGGGGTGGGGGCCGTACCTCGTCTTGAGGAACAGGACCCGTGACTGCAGAAGAGCAGGTTGAACACCCAGGCCTGATCTTCATTTTCAGCCACTTTTTCCAAGTCTTTGGAAATAGCCTGTAGCCTCTGGTTTTATTTTTTTATTTTATTAACATTTATTTATTTACCTACTTATTTGTTGTGATTTTCAAGCTGCTGGGTCCAGGATTCAAACCTTTATTGGCCATATGGGAATCTAACACCTTAACCACCACACCACCTGCTGGTCCCCTTTGTTTGTTTGTTTTTTAAATAATTATTTTATTTTTATTTATTTATTTACTTACTTACTTAATTTGACCAGAGAGGGACAAAGTGAGAGAGAGAAGCAAGCCACCAGGTCCAGGACTCGAACCACAATAGGTCATGCCACCTGCCAGTCCCACCCGTTTGGTTTTTTAACATTTAAAATTTTTTTCCAGCCAGCCAGTGGCATGGACGTTACGGTACCCCACTGACAGCTGTCCAGTGGAGTCCCAGACCTGGCAGCTTGAAAACATCCCGGCGTGGGACCAGCAGGTGGCTTACTGGTTATATGGTTGGACTCCCACAGAGTCGACCGTGGTTCGAATACCAGACCTGGCGGCTTATAATTCACACCAGGTGCATGTGTGTGCGTGCCCAAGATCCCCAGGAGAAGAATGGAGGAGAAGGGATTGCAACGTGACCATCCCCCTGGGGGTGATTTCTCGCTTTCTGTCTCTCTCCATCTCTTTCTGTCTCTCCAGCAAGCACATGTGACCTGTTGCAAAAAATCTCTCGCTAAGGGAACCAGCAGTTAGCGTAATGGCTATGTCGCTGGACTCCCATGTAGTCAACCGGGGTTCGCATTCCGGACCCAGTGGCTTAAAACTCACGCCGGGCGTGTGTGCGTGCGTGTCCAAGATCCCGAGAGGAGAATGGAGGAGAAGGGATTGCGGTGTGACCATCCCCCCTGGGAGGTGATTTCTCGCTTTCTGTCTCTATGACTCTCTCTGTCTGTCTGGCGAGCGCACGTGCCTTACAGTGAAAAAACCTCTCCAAAAAAAAAATCTCTCGCTGAAAGTAAAAAAGAAAGAAAAAAAGGGGATCCTCCATGGCTCCTGAAAAATAGTGATTTCAGGGAAAAAAGAGAAATAAAGATTTTCTACTGATAATTCAGCCTTCAGCCCCTAAACTTGAGTGGAGAGGCAAGGGTCAGGCTTTCAGAAGAAGACTCCTCCAGAGACCATCAGCTGGCATAATGGCTATGTCACTGGACTCCCATGTGGTCGACCACGGTTCGCATCCCGGACCCAGTGGCTTAAACTCAAACCAGGCGCGTGTGCGCACGTGCCCAAGAGAAGAATGAAAGAGAAGGGATTGCAGCGTGGCCATCCCTCCTTGGCGGGGGGCGGGGGGGTGATTTCTCACTTTCTGTCTCTCTGTCTCCTCTTTCTGGCAAGCGCACGTGCCTTATAGGAAAAACCTCTCCAAAAAAAA